GATTAGTCATTAAAAAATTAATGAACAACGTCATCGAAGTCATTATTTTAAATGACAAATTCCGGGATGAAAGTATATTACTTCCACGAATCCCTATTATGTGCCAATCCCTATTATGCCCCCACAGATGTGCCAATTCAATTTAAACGCATTCAGTTCCACATTAGATTGGCATTCGCAATGATAAGGCCAAACAATGTCTGTTTGCGTCTTAGATTTGAACTCACCATGTTTTTTACACAGATACGTGGCATACTCTCGAGTGGGCAAACCATCCAATTTACTTGTGTTAGCTAAAGATGGAATGACAAAAAATATTGTACACTCCATTGCACTAAGAGATTAATGTTGTTGACTAATATTTTCAGAATTCGTTGTATATATAATTTATAAAAAAGTTGCAATAAATTAAAAAAAATGTATTATTTGGTGTGTTGTTACTTTCACATTCCGTCATCGTTCACAGCTCTCCATGCCTCTTCCACTCATATACCACATACGCACACATTTGCAATAAATAAGATATATTTTCATACTCTAGAAATAATTCATATGGCAAAACATCGTTTGCCGGGTCAGCTAGTATANCACTCATATACCACATACGCACACATTTACAATAAATAAGATATATATAATTCATATGGCAAAACATCGTTTGCCGGGTCAGCTAGTATATATAATACATAACTTAATTTCATTGCTTTTTTTTCTACCAATAATTTTTTTAAAAGAAGTACAATTAATTTTTTTAAAAAACGCAGGTGATTGTGCTCCGGAAAAAATATCCGCCTTTTCCGGATTTGTCGCTAACCGCAAAGTTTCCGAAAATCCAACGTCCAGAGAGTATCAAGAAATCATCGATCACATTTATATATAAAAATTCTTTTATATTTTATTTAAAAATATTAGAACTAGAATTTAATATTTTTGGCATCTCTTTCATTTGTTAATATTTTGTCTGGTAGAATATTAAATGTTATTAGAGATAAAAGTAAACTTGTAAATAATTATTCATTAAAATTATGCTGCATATAATTTATTTAGAATTTCATGTTTTGAAAATATCAATAATTTAAATTTATAAAGACATTTATTTTTTTGGACAAGAAATTTTCAGGATTTTTGAGTTGGGCTCACTACCCCTGAAAAAAGTACTATTTCTCTGTACTGTACTGTACTGTAATAAGAAATCTAATTAAATGTGTAAAAATTATTAAAAATAGTGATTATTTTGAGATTTCACCTGATTAAAACTATTAATGTATTGCTATAAAAACACGCCTTATTCAATAATAAATGCAAGAATTCCGCCAGATTTGAGATTAGTTTTAGAAAATGACAATAGATGGCACTAGGCAACATTTTCTTGCTATCGACCAGGTAATAAAGGCTTTAAATTGCTGATAATAAATTTAAAAAACTCAGACTTTTTGAAATTTTTTTAATTATTATCATCGAGATTTTAGATGAAACGTCTAACCAGTTCATGGAACATCTGTGTTTACATTATTAGAAATTCCTATAATTTTAAATTAGAGTTGCTTATAATAATGTCCTAGCATTACAACTCACCTGCACTCAAACAGGTTTCAGTGTTTTAAATCTTTACTTTCTTTCCAGCAATTCGCCAGATTTCAAGAAATTATTTTTATTGCTTGAATATTAATTTAATACTTTTATACGTATTCTTTTTGTGCAAAGGACTAAATAAATCTATATTAAGGGCATTGTGTATGGAACATCATACCAGAGCTGTGGTGTTGATAGTTGTAATGTTAGATTCTATTCTAACTCCGAGAGATTGTTTACGAATCCAATTTGTACTCAATTAAAATTTCCTCCTAATAATCCCAGTAAAGTATTGTTAAGTTCAAACTATATATTTCTATTTTTTTTTTTTAAACGCACTTTATTTGAAATTACATTTTATATTATAAATTAACAGTTGAAGAAATAAATTTTAACAAAATATTGAATTCGTGCAAGGCTATTTTCAAAAGAGAAAAAAAGTACTTATCGCATTCAAGCATGCATAAACGTCCCTTCGACAAATAATTGTTTAGTGAATAAATGAACTAGGTAACTATTACTAATAATAAATTTAATTCATTGCATAATTTTTTAGTCAAATTAATAATTAACTAAATAAATTTGGTTTTAGAATAAATAGATTGAGATAGCTTTTTAAAAATTCATTTATCAATTCTCAACTTTTCAATAATTTCAGTGGGTTTTTTTTGTTTATCAATTCGGTTATATTTTGACTCAAGTGTGATTAATTAAGTATGCGACAAGTATTAATTTAAATAATTGTCATAATATTCATTCGAGTATTGTTTTTGTTTAAATAATCATAAATATTTGTCTAAATAATTTTTATAAGATTAAATTCTTATTTTTTTCTTCAGTTTTTAATCTTCAGAACTAAATTCTAGCTAACTCGTAAGTCCCACAAATTTTTTTTTTTTTTAACTTTTTCAGTTTTCTACAATTACTCTCAGCCTCAAATGTCTTATAAATTACTCTAATTTTAACTTGTATTCTATTTAAATAGTCAAATCAATCTAATGGACTTGATAAAAGTAAATTGAAAGTAGGAAGGGAAAAAAAAAACGATAAATATATGGTTACAATATATTGAATGATGGGCGTCAACGCAATATATATCGTTTGGAGAAAGGAAAAAAAGTTATTTTCACAGAAGCCACGTGACTTAGGTTAAAGTGAGGGGTTAGGTATTGGGAATAAGTATTTTACTTGTTCCAATTACTACCTGTAGCGTAGCAACTGCAGTGTTTTGTTACGAGCTCAAAATAAAGAAATTATCTTGACATTTTGGAAAAAGAAATGAGGTTCAAGTGACTCCATCATTATATTTAACAACGGTAAAGTAAAAGTATTTGGTGTCAATATAATTATTTCTGTCTCAGTTTTCAAATTAAATTCCACGTTTTTAAGAACCAAAATTGACTATCCTGGCAAAAATTATTTTCTGCAAGACTCGAGGAGTCGTTCGATGTTGTTGTAAGGGTATAGTGTTCAAAATGATATTTTTACTGTCTTAAGAGTTTTGCTTGAAATTAAAAAGTATTCGAAAGCTCTACAATGCACTCCCAATTGTAGAAAAGAAATCTTTCTCTAAAGTGAGAATTGATAACAGTTTCCTAAATTCTCATTGGATAAGGAAAACCACGTGACTTTCGATTAATATAATGAGAAAAGATACAATTATTTTTAGCTGTATTGAGAAATTAAGTTGAAGTCTCAAATTGACTCTCAAATTAAAACAAAACGAATAAATAATAAAAGAAAATTTCGAAAACTATGTTTTTCAAGCAGACGAAAAAAAATTTTTTTTATAAGTAATTAGACCAGCAGGTCCCAATTTTTTAAGGCTACGGAACCCTAAATAATTGAGTGATCTTCTTTGAGTGGAATTACGGCATTATAATAAAAAAGTTCATTAGTAAATTATACTAACAAAAAAATACCACTAATTATTTTGAAAATATCTAATATTATGAAGAATTATTAATATTGTGAAGCATGAAATATTTTAAATTATGAATTTGTTATTAGTCAACTGAATATTAACTAATTAAATATTAATTAACTGAATACTAATAACTAATTTAATTAATTAATTAAATTTGTTATAAATCAACTGAATTATGGTTTAAAAAAAAGAAGTGGGGCGGGACAGCCTGGATGGCAGGGCGCTGGCCTCACGCTCGTGAAAATGTATCCGTTCAGAAAATGTATGATTTCGTATCCAGTTGGCTGAAGACTCAACGTGTAATAATTGGTGACTAGTGCACGTTAAATTTGTCGAGTCACAAAGTACTCCATGTTCCCATCACAAACTATACCTCTGAGGGTACTGAATTGGAGATTGATCGTTGTCTGGTTCAGGTCAAAATTACAAACCGTGGATTAATAAATGTATGTGTGCATGGGTCTGCCCCATAAAACGGGTGAGGCAGAAGTCGAATTCGTGGTCATAGATGGCGCCACTAAAAAAAAGAACAATCGCATCCCCTCTGCCTTAATGGCCGCCGACAACAACAAAGAAACTGCTATGATCGTTAATGGCAGAAACATAATTTTTTTTAATTTTAGTGATTTTGCTTTGAATTGAAGAGCTTAAAAAGAAATACTAATTGAAATCTTTTGATACATTCACATGTTTTTTGAGAGCATATTAATTGTAGTGTTACTAAAAAGTTTTTTTTTTTTAAATTTTGGTAGTTTTTTTTCATTTGCAATGGATGGTATTTTCAACAGAAATGAAAACAATAACAATCTCCAGCACGGCACCTATAAATAAAAAGTTTGCAGCTGCTTACTACATGTTATTCTGATAGGCGATGTTTTCAAACGGATAATTTTGTTTTCAATAAAAGAAATAAATTAGATAATTTCTGAGCTCAAATCTGAGGTCAACTTCCCTGCGTAAGTATTGGAGGGGTGTTAATGATTCCATTAAGTTGGCTGCAATCAAGAGGGCTTTTCTACGTAAGTATGGGAAGGGTGTTAGTGATTCCTTTAAGTTGGCTGCAATCAAGAGGGCTTTCCTACGTAAGTATGGGAAGGGTGTCGGTGATTCGATTAAATTTATTGCAATCAAAAGGGTTTTGCAATTGCAACTTTCCTATGTAAATATGGGAAGGCTGTTAGTGAATTGATTAATTTTGCTGTAAAAAGAATCGTAGTGGTTAGGTGATAGAGCTCCTAATGAGGTAGCCCGGTATCGAACCTGAATGAAATGGGCAATTACAGTATCTTTTTAAAAAAATTATTTTTAATCCCAACTTATTAGAAATTCTCTCCTGAATTCGAAAATCTGATCGTTTTCTTTTCCTCAAATGTTTATTTATTTAATTATTAAACATTTAAATTGCCCGTAAAGGCCTCTGTAAGTGATGCAATCAAATACAAACCCTGATTGGTTATGACGTCACATGTGCTGAATGGAAACGTGCCTCCTCCATTAGCTAAGGCTATTTAATTCCTTTTTTAAGTTTTTATATGACTTATATCGTATGAACATTCTTTGTATGTTATTAGAAAAAAAAATTGTGAACCCATCTTACGGTTTTGAGAGTGTGTGCAAAATGGATTTTAAAACTTCAAACTGTTTCTCTAAAATAGCTGATGAAATCATTATGCACAGAGAATCGACAATTCTTCTCCGCTGAAATCAGTGGTGTTAAAATTCTTAGAAAATCTTATTATATTTAACTTATTTTTCAGTTAAAATAATGCTCCATTGCAGCCTTAATTACTTAAT